TGTCGAAATTCTTTGAACGTTATTGGAATGTTACACAGATAATCATCAGGTTCTTTCATTCGCAATGTTTCTTTTTATCTTTTTATTTTTTAGGAAAGGGAATTTGAGGAATCTTGAGAAAAATAAGAATTGATAATTGATGGTTAACTACTTAATCAGTCGCAATAAGATACTAAAATCTATCGACGAAATGGCTCATCGAAATCGGAAAAGAAGTTTCGAAATGATTGTATGGAGAAATTGCGCGAATGTCAACAGGCAAAACTCGATGGTAAATTAGAAAGTGGCGAGGCGCGATCGTGTCCCCTAAGGCAGGGCGTCGGATAGGCGGTCCCAAACACAAAGTTAAACGCTCTCCCGACACCTTGTTGGTCGTCCTCTTTTATTCAGACACACACTACCTTTTCGAACGTAATTATTCTTAGCAAGTGGAGAGATGTATCGATGAAGTAATTACTTTTTCCCCTTTTTCCCTTTAATTAACGTTTTTTTTTACTTCATACATGGTTATATACGATATACATATATATTTTCACATACCTAGGTACTCTGATCTGATGATTATTTCCTCGATTTCGAACCATCGAATCTTCATTCTTTTCACCCGTACGATATTATATATCCGGTAATCGGTCGTGGATTTATCGAATCTCAAGGTAATGGTTCACGGGCTCTATTTGAAACTCTATTTGACGAATGAAGGCAATTAATAATCGGCGGCAACGTGTGATCTTATGGGATTCGCATCGTTAACGTTATTTGTTACGCGTTGCAACGTTGTACGCGAAGGGTAGGCGGTCACTCGAGCAGACGGGGGAGGGGAGAGGGGTAGAAGAGAAAGCGTCGCGTGGATTTTTCCCGTGGAACGATCGAGAGATCGGCGTGGATATAGTCGCGATGATCGATCGTGGTCGGTGAATCGAGCGAAACTCGTTTAACTTGTCAATCCTGTGTGTACCCGTTTCCCTTAACCCGTGACCGTGCGTATTTATCGTCGGATTAATGTCCGGAGTGTTGGACATCCCGAGAAAGATGAATTTCTGCTCTCTGATTTTTACCATTCGCGTTAAGATTCTCTTCTTCCATGTCTTCTCTCTCTCTTTCTCTCTCTCTCTCTCTCTTACTCCTCTCCCTTTTTTTTTTTTTTTTATTTTCCTCTCGACGAAGAATTTCGTTTATCTGATGGAGGTAATGTTACGACGTCCGTACATCGATGAATCGTGTACCGTGTTCACCGTTCGCTTCTTCTAACCGGTGTTAGCGTAATTTTCGCGCTCGCGTCGAGGTATTACAGGTAAGCAGGCTTACGATCGCGTCACGCCGATCTTCTTATTTTCTTTCCTTCTTTTTCTTTTTTTATCAGATATCAGAGGGTTGACGAGTGATCGTAAGTTGTGATTCTTCGAGAATCGCGCACGCAGATGCACGAAGAATAACACGATTGAACAGATTTAAAACACGAGTCACGACGATGAATGAGAAAATTCTTGTCTTTTCCCCCGTTCATGCTGCTTTCCTCATCTTTTTTGAATATCTACATTTCGAAGATGATGGATCGAAGGGATGAGAAAACACGTAAGTAAGGAACAATGTAACGATTAAATGCCACAGCACGAGAGAAAACGAGGTGATTATATATATTATAGGTGTACGCGTGATCGGCTATTTTCTTCCGTTTCGGCCGGTGTCGCGTGGGGGTTAATTGGCAGTCGGAGAAAAGGGTTTCATTAGAGAGAGCCGTGATGCATCGTCGCGCGACAGAAGCGAGGCGAACGCGACGATACGCGTTGCCTATGGGCATCCAAGTCGAAGAGGAAGAATACGGGGGAGCTGAGACGGGGAGCACACGGAAGGCAAAAAGGCATGGTACGAGAGGGAGGAGAAAGATCGAGGGGACAAGATTAAACGTGGGACAAAGACGGAAATTGAGGCGTAAGGCTTGCCCGGTAGCGATGGATTCGATTCGTCCCGAGGACGTAGAATCACCGAGTTCAAACCTATAAAGAAGGACGTACACTGCATTTCATAAAATTTATCGATGTAAGATCATTCATCGCTCGCTGGAAGAAACAAGTGTACACCTCCTCTTGCACGATTATTTATTCAATCGATAATTTGTAATATTATCGATTCGACAAGTTAGTTACGAAGTTGCAAGTTATATTTAATTTATTTCTTTTACAATTTTTATTGATTTTGATACGAAATACTCGAACGAGTTGTAAAATTCCGCCGACGGGACATTATCGTTAATATCATTATAGCGCAAGAAAGTTAGGACATCTTCTTCCCAAACACCTGTTCATATGTAATTTTTCACGTATAAAAAAAATCGAACGAATCTGAAGTGAGGGGGAAGAAAAAAACGGTGTAACGAGATTTAACGCGTTTCCCCGTTCCAGTTGCGTGACTCGGCCATCTTCTTTCTCTTGGAAAATCGTAGCGCGGCCGAAGAGCAGGATCGCGAAGGGCGTACCTTTGCCTCCTACGAATTTCTCGAATTCATTAAGATTATTAAGTCCTCTTGGAAGGCCTGTTGGGCGTTGGAACTCGAGTAGGAGGCAAGGTGGATCGCGGACAGAAAAGACATGGAAGAGAGGGAGCAGGAAGAGACAAGAGGTTCGGAGGAGGACGACCGTGTCTCTTCGGGTAGACAAAAGAGGAAAGGAGAGAGAATCGGAATGGAAGTGGAAGGAGTACGCGGTGACTGGCAGCCTCTGGCTCCGATGTCTCGTTTACCATAATACAAGGCCTTCGGTGAGGGGCAGCGCGGACTGGAGGATGCACAGGGACCCTCCTCGAAACGGTAGCAATGTATCAGAGGACCGTGAAAACCCCGTCGTGGACGGCCGCGGATCCCGTCCACTCAAAGGACGCGCTGCGTGGAACACACGTGATATCCTGTCGTCGCTTCTGTCTCCTCTATCGGTGTGCCGCGGACTCTGTTACGAAGTCGTACCTGTTGTGCTTTTACACGACGTGGAAAGAACGATCGCGAGAATCTGCTGGAAATTGTGCATGGTGGATGTAGGATACGATACAGGGAGGAGGATGGACAGGTAGGAGGAACCAGAGACTAGGATGGATGTGGAGGATTTGGCGAGGCGGGGAAGAAGCGTATCGTTAAAGAGGTTGGACGATTTATTGGCTTGTCTTCGATCGAAGGTCATTAAGGCAATCGTTCAGTTAGATTACGGATTTAATCGTGAAGAAAGTATTTAGGAAATTTCGGATTGGTTGGTTACTCCATTTAATTTTTCTAACGCGCGAATTCGAATCGAGGCGATGATGGGGGAGGAAGGGGCGAGAATTCGATAAACGCGATGGACGAAACGATACGCGGTTCGCATGGAAGAGTGAAGAAAAGCGAGGGGAGAGGAGCAAGGTCGTCGTGGTTGTCGTCGTCGACGAGCGTATCTGCAAATTAAGCGAGTGCACGCCGCTTGCCAACTGCTCCTTCCCAGACGTCGAAAAGTCGAGGAAATCTTGGAATATCTCGTTCGTTACACGTGATTTCTCCGGTCTACCCTTCGTCTCTCTCGTCCACCGAATGTCCCGGATGCTTAACAATTACACGGGAATGCGACTCGTGGCCGTCCCGAAGTTTCTCTTGCGAGTTCTTTACGAGCCCGCCTATTTTTCGTTCCCGCGCAAATTTTTCCAATCATCCTTTTTCATTCCTTCCATCAAATCGAAACTTAATCTTATCGATATCGGTATCGACATAATTTTTCGCGTTATATAAATGTCACAACGCACGAGGAAAAAAAAAACAAAAGAAAGAACGAGAGGAAGGATATAAAGAAGAGGAGGATACGCAGTTTGACGGACCTCGTCCTCCCTTTCCACCAGAAGAAGGACGCTCTCCTCGAGGATCTTACTCCTTCCTCCCTCTTCTTCCTCCCTCTCTCTTTCCTCTTCCCTCTTCCTCCGTCCCTCCTACTCCGTCTACTTCTCTTTCGGCCGCTCTGCTCGCTCCGTCCCTTACCATTTCGAGGCCGCTGTCTTCGTTTCTCTTCGCTCGACCGCGCGATCCGCACACGCCACTTCTTCTTCAGTGGCCGCTGGTACCACTCTCGGCTAGATCGCGCCAAGCACACCTCCTCTCGTGTTTCCTTCTTCTTCTTCTTCTTATCCACCACCACCACCGCAACAACAACAACAACCATCACCACCCGGCGGCATCGCCAGCATCATCGTTTCACCACCGCTCGCCGCCGGTCAACACCAAGTCCACTTCCTTTCCTATTCTTCTTCCAATTCGATCAAGCGAACGCGCACGCGGTTTGTTGCACGACTCCCTTCCGGAACTTACGCGGGATTCACTTCTTCTCTCGACTCCGCCGTCTGAAGATACGTGAAGAGCTGTGAAGAGTTGTGAAATTTATATCGAAAAAAAGTGTGTCGTGTGCTTGTTCGAGCGGGAGGATGATTACGATGTTCGAGGATGACTCGAGGATTCCGTTCAAATTGATAGTGGATTAGCGTTCCGAAGATCTACGTATCTACGAAGTTCGAGCGTTGCTCGAAAGCGTGGCTAACGATAGTTAATCTAGAAAGATGGAGAGATTGGTGGAACGAGTGGCAGGAAAGTGGAGTGATTCGAGATGACAGCAACGGTCCTCGTTCGCACGTGGTACCTTGACACCTGACGACGAGAATCAGAGAACCGTCAGGGAATCAGGAACTCGAGGAGGCACGTGGATCTGGTCCAATTCATTAACGGGCGTATCCAACTTTTCCACGAGGAAAAATATTTTATCTCGGCAATCCTCGCACCGATTTAATTAACGAAACTAATTGCTACTATCCGGAGAAGACGCAGACCTGTTCGAGATTATGATCTCGCACCTCTTTTCCTCGTGAATCGATATTTTTTTTAAAGGATTAGTTGGAAATAAATAACCGGTGTTGGAGAGGATTAGCACGTGGTCGCGTCGTTGGAGGTTTGCTTCCTGTTCCTTTTTTTTTTTTTTTTTTTTTTTCAAAGGAGGCCGCGTTTGTCAACGTGCGATCGGACCTAGAGAGAACACGTGTTAAATTAATGCAATTTCTTTCGCGACTGCCACCATCTTCGATTTGTCACACAGGTGCTTTTCTCACTCGCCGACGCCGTGATGGATTAACGGTCTGGAACCGGTGAAAAAGGGTAAGAGGAAGGTGGTCTTACGAGAAAGGAGGCTCCCGCGCGATCTTCCACGCTTTGTTTTTAACAAACAATGGGGGAGGACGATTAAACCAAGGTTTAAACGTTCGCTGGAATAGCTCGAGATTCGCCGGTGTTTGTCTTTTTTTGTAACGAGAAAGAAGAATTGGGAATTGGATGTTCGAAGGTATCGGTGATTTCGACGCCCGCAAGCGAGGTGATCTTCGGGACTGAGTGGTGTCTCGTTGAGTTGAACGCTCAAATAGGGTGAGTTTAAAATTTTGTTACAATTTTTTTTATCGATCATTAGGAATATCATTATAGAAAATTTAATTTTGTGTTTTTTTTAACGATACGGAAATTTCATAATTTTTCACGGTGGATTTCTCTTATTGTTTTTTTTAGTTTAATTTATTTTACGCGGCTCTATGAGCGAAATTCACAGGAAAGGAGTGGAAGGAGTTAGAAAGGTAAAAATGGTTTTCTTCTCGAAAGAGGAGGCGAGGATTACTCGGTGCGCTCCTTCGATTTGCATTGAACACAACTGTTTAACGATTTGATCGGTGCTTTAATTCGAGAATTATACGTTTAATCGTAGATAGTATTCGATGTATAGGCTATACTACGGTGTCTTCGGGCTCGAGTAAATATTCATTAGGTAGCCGCGTATCGCCGCCTTTCGACCGATCTTCCATTTGCATATCACAATCAACGTCATATCATTGTTGACACTGAGTCTCTGGCCTTCTCCGTGAGGATCAGTCTACCGCGCGAATCCCGTTCTCCGTTCCGTCCTTCCTCTTCCTCCCCCCTCGATCCAACTGCCCGTATGTAGGAGTATCCTTTAAATACTTACAAACGTATCTCGTCTCGAGATATAAGCGTCTTAAGCGTCGAGCGACTTTTTCTCAGAGAGAGAGAGAGGAAAAAAAAAAAAAAAAGAAAAAAGAAGAGAAAAAAAAAATGTCCTCCAGACATGGCAGATTTTCATCGGATAATTAATTTTCTGATTCTTCCTCGCCGCGCGTTGAAACGTTCGAAAATTATATCGAATCGAGCGAATAAATGGATCGGTCCAATTTGATTCTAACTCACGCACAATTCTAACTCAACGCAGAAACGATCGTCTCGAATCTAATAACTCGAAACTCGAAATCGCATTGCTATGCCGCCGGTGGCTTCTTGTTCTCGCGTTTAACAACGCATCCGCATCGAATCCGCATCGAAATTTCTCCCTACCCTCTCCCCTACCCCTCAGCTTCGCCACTCACTTTCTAAACGAATTAATCTTCCCTACTCGACAAGTTTAGCATTTTCAATCGCGCCACCCCCTCTCTACCAATCGCTTTTCGAATCCTCCCCCCGAATTCGAAAATTTCTATCAACTACGGCAAATTGAATTATTCCCAGTGTACTCCATCTCGTTCGTTGAGGTATTAACGTTAATTTCGAATTTGTAAAACAATCTGGAACGTTATTATCGTTTGTTGACACGCTTCAACACGTATATTTGCCGATCGAAATAACGACAAACGGGGGAAATCGACGCGAGGCGCGGTCTAATTAATAGACGAAACGATAACGGAAATTACTGGTTGTCAATAATCGAGCCGGGACGTCGAAAAGCCGGAATAATTATTCTGCTCCGCCGCGCACTCCACCTTTTCCTCTGGCGCACGTTCATCGAACTCCTAAACAAAGCTATATATATATATATATATATATATATATATAGACGAAACGGAATCGCGCGCGCGCCTTCTTCAATCGGTCGAGGACTTACCTTTCGAGCTCTTAACGTGTTCCAACTTTTTTCCTCCACCCTCGGGTCTCCTTCTTTTTTCCTCGGTCGATTAAGCGATCAATCAGAGAGCAACGGATCGCGATCAATTAGCCGACGTCGAGTACCTTCTTCGCGTGGCTCTCCTCGGGTATCGTGGAATAAGGTTCGATTAATTATCGCTGGATTTTCCTTCTTTCCAACTCGTGAAAGAACTGGAAAAAGAGAGAGAGAGAGGGAGAGAGAGGGAGATGAAGAAGGATGGGCAGAGGAAATCGACAGTTTCTCGAGGAACGAGAGAAATATTCGAGACCACCACCGCGCCTTCTCGATTTCCAGTTCATTTGAATCCCTTCCGTGTCGCTGCGTTTTTCCATCCTCGATATCTACCCAAACCTCTACCCTCCTCCCTTATTCTTTTCTTCTTCTACTTTCGCCTCTCCTGCTTCCCCCTCTATATTCGATCGAATTCCGTCGCGATCGACGGCGTAACGACGCTGCGTAGGAGGAAATTAAGGGGCATCGAAGGGATAAGGTCGAAACGTGACGTTATTGGTTTACGAGAAATGTAAGTGGAAATCGAGCCACCCCCGCGAAGGGGTGGTTTCTTGTTCCGTCGAGGATATTGGCTGCCCTCGACACCGTGACTTCTCGCCGGATTTCTCTAAGAAAGCTAAGAAGAATTCTCCGTCTCTTTTTTTTTTTTCACGATATCAGATGATTTTGTTCGAGTTTCATAATCACCTTCCTCCCCCCCCTTAAGATCCTCAAGATTGGTTCGAAGGTATTTTCGTATCCACTTTGGTCAGAATCACACCCCTCGAATCGCTTCCTCTTTCCTTCATCGATGACAACGTGTCGTTTCATTATTTCGTTTCACTTCAACGAGGATTTCTCTATGTATTTTCCTATTCCTATATTGATGAAAGAGCAACGCAGGATACAGCTCATCCCAGAAATAACAATCCTATCCCCGGCCGGGTAATTCAACGCCATGGTTTCTAAGAACGGTATCGTGAGATTCCTTAAGTGGTTCAGGCTGTGCGCAAGTTTAATCGGAAATCTTCCCGTCCGTCTCTGATTAATTCGAGGATAGGAAACATCCCGTAAAAAAACCATGCTAGCGTTTATCGGGTTCTTCAGCCCCATCGGGAACCTGGCTATATAGTCCCGAAGAAAGAGTTAATGCACGATGGGGATAAAATAAAAAAGAAGGAAGAAAACACGAACACGATCGATAATATTAGATAATTGAACGAATATAATTTACTTTTTAAAAAATCTTAAACATTTTAAGTATTTTCGTATATATATATATATATATATATATATATATATATATATATTATGCGTTCGTTCGTTAATAATACCGAGTAAAAAATCAATTATTTCCAAAGATATTTTCCTATTTTACTATTTGATCAAAAATTCTATGGAATAAGCTATAAGATAGGAATATCGGCGATACCGCGAAAATTAATCCTCGTTAACACGCGTACGAAAGTTTTCATCCCGTTACACCGTGTTATTGATTGAACGAGCCACGTCCATCAATGAGAGGCCGTAATAGTCCTGGACCCGTCCTATCTTTACGTATCATCTCGGTTACACTCTTGAAGGCTAAACGTAGTCTCCAAGTAGTACGAAACTAGATACCCGGCGGCGTTCACGGGAGGAGAAAGGAGGCGTTTAAGAAAAGATAAGACCTCATGACCGTGAAACCCGGTACAGATTGTCGGTGAACGGTCACGAAACGTCCACGTCCTCCTCCTCCTCCTCCTCGTCGTCGTCGTCGAGGGGGGAAACGAATCGATGCAAGCGCAACGTGGAGGAGGGAAGAGGAGAGAATAGTACTACCGTGACTGCTACTACTACTATCTTTAATAGAATCGTGTAATTCGTCGATTGGCGCAAAAACGAGCCGATACCCATGCGGGGGCAAAAACTTGCGCAACAACCGCTACTCTTCCTCTTCGTTACGTGTTTCCTACCCTTCCTTTCCTCCACCCTTTGTTTTTCTCCCGGGCCGCGAGTTCACCGCGTTCTAACGATATTTATGTAGTTGACGATTAATCGCGGAGAGAATTAATCGCAGGAGTCGATGGTTGGATACGTTTCTTCTAACGGGAACTCTCGTCTTGTTTCAATAAACAACGTCCAATTCACGATTCCATTTCTCCGACGTTTTCACCGACGCTTCGTTCAAACTATTCGAAACGATTATTTGTCATACAACGTAAACGCGGAACAACGAGAAGATCAACAGGAAGGAATGTTTCTTTCGTAAAGGAGGATCGTATTCCTAGCACGTGCGAGAACCGCGAAGCGAAACGTTGGACGACGCGTTGAACGTGTGTTCGTTAGGGAACGGGTTCGGTCGCTTTGATGAGTTTTATCGCGTCGAGGGAACATTAAAGGTCGGGGGGGGGAGGGGGGGGAGGAGGGACGAGCCGTTGAGCCGTTGCCTCGAGTCGAGCAATCGAGCGGCGATATAACCGCGAAAACGGTTCCTCTTTGAGCGCGATATTTCTGCGCGACCAAGGTTGCGGCAAAAAGCGGGACACGTCGACACGTCCCTAATCCTTTCATGGAAACAGACCGCGTGGAGACGATGTGGCAAAAAGTCGGCCCATTCTGGTGTCACCTTTGCTCGCGTAATAAACGCGTTCCGCATCCCAACGAATCGCCCCTTTCCTCTTGGGGCAGCAAGAGATTTGCATCGAGAATCTCGATCGTTAACCAACATCTCCGCCACTTTTCTCCGCCGGTTTCGCGTAAAGAAGCTGCACGCTCGCGTCGTCGATAATAACGGTAATTGGTCCCGCGGGAATCAACGTGTCATCTTTCTTCGAAATCTTTCGATACTTTTGCAAGGGGAGACAACGAGTTTTATTTAACAAGCGAGAGACATATATATATTCTGTTTAATACGAGCGAGAATTGGAGCGAATAACGCTAGGATAGAATCGATAGAACTCTCGATGGATCCTCTCGAGCCGAAACGATTCTTTCCTTTTGAATGAAACGCGTATCAAGAATTCATCGAATATCCGTTCAAATTATCAGGATATCGGTCGATATCGATACCTCGACCGGGTATAATTATACGAAATTCGACAGTGGAGGAAGATTTTTCAAAATTTTCTCTCTTTTTTTCTCTCTCGACAAAGCTCGAACGAATTGGTAATTAGACGAGCTCTTGGATCCGAAATTCGACAGTGGAGGAAGATTTTTCAAAATTTTCTCTCTTTTTTTCTCTCTCGACAAAGCTCGAACGAGTTGGTAATTAGACGAGTTCTTGGATCCATTTGGATGGAGAGTGTATCAGTTCTCGTTATAGCTCGAAATAGCTCGAGCCTTGGAGACGGATCACCGAAAGACGCTTAACTTCTTTCCAATTAAACGTTTTCACAGTGCGGCCAGGAATCTCGGTTCCGCGTGTACCGGCTAATTAGAATCCCTTTCCGGCTGATCTTTAATTCATGAC